AATATGTAAGCACATGATTCAAGTTCATCTTCACGAAAAACCTTTAAATATTCTACTTCTTATCCATTCTTACATGTCTTAGCTTCTATGTTTGACATTTAGCAGCTTCATGCATGCTCTACTTCATAGTTGTGCTATGTAATCATGGAGTACAACATATGCAAGTCATATATCCTGATTCATAATGCTGTCCAAAAATTCTAACTCAATTTCTACTTGATATTAAGTAATTATGGATGACAAATTTGAATACTTCTAGTACTTCAATGCTCTCGGTCTTTCTATTTCAAGAAATATTTCTTCTGGAATTAGACAAAGTCTTATTTACCATCTCATCTTCTATGACTTTTAATCACAAAGCTTCAAGCTTATTGTATTTGTTTATAGAGCAGCATTATATCCCATATGGTCATATAGCTTGAAAATCCAGTTTTCAATATTTCTGGCATTATGCAATCATAATGTAGGATATCTTCTAGAATTTCTCATTCGGTGAGTCCCATAAGACCTTTAGGATTTAGCCTGGCCACCTACTCATTCTTTGAGAGTAATATCAGGAATTACAATGCTTAAGATCCACCCCACTTCAGTGGTAGTAGAATATCCTGCTAGGATTTAACAAGACCATGCTATATTATTCTGCCATTCACGGCAAGTTCAGGATATTTCTTCTTAATGAAGGTATGCATATATCATTATAACTACATCATGTGCATACATGTAATCAAGTAGCAAGGTGCAAAAATATTGTGGATGGTTATGCAAAAAATACTCTTAGAAACATCCTAGCATTTATTAGGATTATGGCATATGCAAATTTTCAGAATTAATACCAACCATTCATTCATCCCAAAAATTTATTGTTCTAGGAAAAACAAATATGAGCATCTCAAAGGTGATAAATCTAAGATCCGCAGAATTTAGAGAGCCCATATATCTTATACCATGTTTCTAGTGTAATCATTCAAGATTTTATTCTTGCGGTTACATGGTATATAGTTCATAATAATATTGCGCTAGCATTTTTCAGAACTAAATTCAAATTATAGAAAATTTTAAGAATTAATTTAGGCAAAACAACAATAATTAAACTACAGATTTAATGTTGTATATACAAGTTCTTATATATGCGGGTATAAGATATATATAGTAAATATGCATAAACAGAAGGTCTAGGGTTAATTAATTAAAACCATAATTTCCAGAAAGCATAAGTGCAATTCTTCAAGAATAAACAACGTATGCATTGTTTCTACGGGAAACATAGGCTTCTTCGTGAAAATTCAGCCTTTTCCTTTTTTTCTTGTTTTTTTTTCATTGCTATAAGGCCAATTCTGCCACGTATTCTTCTCATCCCGTTAAAAACCTTCTTGGCCTTCTCCACTTCTTACGGTCCGATCCGATGTGGATTAGAGTTTTTTTTTTCATAGTAAAACTCTAACTGCCCCTTATCTTACAGTAAACCGGTCCGTCACCACAGCTACATGCTTGCGCGTGAGCGACTACGGCATGTTTCCGAACTGCGAAGGTGGGGTCTAGATTGGCAGCCGGCCGACACATGACACTTGACAAGCCAGCTGCGAGTTGACTATGCGAGCCATGCATGGCATCCGGAGTCCGTGATTCATCTGGGGACGGCCATGGTGCCATGGCAGCATACCAGCCACATGGTCATGTGCGCTCATGCAGGAGTTTAGGTTCTGATCAACATGATATCAGTTTGCTGGCTACAGGACAGCCTTGATGCTCTTGTTTTTTTTTCAACAATTAACCCTAGAGGCAACTCACGTATGCACTGCGCGCATATACCAATTTTACGTACTACGTGTACCGTAATTAGGAGCAAAGCAAAAAGCCTGTCTTGCTGGTAAGGACAAACGCAATGTATGAGATACGATTTCTTTCATACCTTATATAGGATGCCAATTTGATATACCTCACATGCCACGTAGGGTAGTGGTTAGTAGATACATACCACGTAGGGCGTTTGGCACTGTCGTAGAACTGCTTGCCTGACAGCGACGGTGCATATCGATGCAGTGCAGATTCGTTGCAAGTAGAGGTTGCAGATCCGTTCTGCTAACAACGTCGGGATGTCTACGTCGTCGAAGTAATCGTAGTAGGGTCATCGCCATGAACGTCGGCGTCGAAGATCGGCGGCAGCTTCAACTACGATGTCGATGTAGAGCTTGTCGTGCTGATAACGTGTTATAATTCCAGTTGCCAGGAGTATCCCAACTCATTGAGCAGGCCGGCCCTTTAATTTGTCTCGTCTGAGCCCAGCCCGTTCGGATGCAAGTTTCGGCCCATAACAAAATCGTTCAGCAGCAGAGAGTCCTCCTGTTTCTTATATAAAAAAAAGTCCTCCTCCTCATTGGATCCTTCGAGTAGTAAATATAAATAGTAGTGATTGCTAGATAGCCGTAGCCGTCAGGAGAAAAAAATCTTTAGACCCCAGGAACAGCCCACAAGCAAAGCCACGTAGCCATCCCAAGGAATTAATTACTTATAATATATATATATATATATATATATACTAGCAATCATACACGTGCGACACGCACATGTGTATGAAAATTGATCCATAAAATGTTGAAGTAGTTTACACAATTATAGTAATGAGTTACACCAATCTGGAGTGGGGGCTGATGTCCACACCGTCGATTTCTGGTAACACGGTCATGGAGTCGCCGTTCCGCTATGGCACCATGCGGCCGTAGACTACAGTCCCAAACTTGGCCATAGTATGATGATGATTAGTCCACCATACTAATACGATATCAATATATTAACTCATAATGTGCGTGGTCCAAGATAATTATTGGCTAGGAACCGTAACCGGTGCATATACTGCTGCATGATTTGTTTTTGCTGGTGCAGCCAAGAGTAGATCAACCAGATTTCGGAGTAAGAAAAGACTTATGAGTTGTGTGCAACCAAAGAATCTCTCTTAATAAAAAATAAAATAAATAAACATTATAGAACCATAAACATAGCCATGAGATTAAAAAGTACGTACCTGCTTAATGAGTGAGAGTAAGATCTTAGACGATGGAAGGCTCATGTGACACGACGTAAAGATCGAACGGTTATGAAAGAGGGATAGCCCCCAACAAAAAACTCGCTCTTTTATAGTGTGATACGTACCTGCTGGGTAGGCTAGCTAGTACGTGCGTGTCCATGATGGACGCGTTAGGGGCTAAGTGTGATGATACATGACTGAGAGGGAGTCGAGCCATGGGAAGTTTCTTTTTTAGGTCATGGTATGAGATTGGTTTAGGCGTGGTATACATTACATGATGTTAGATCTCAGACAACGGAAGGCTCATATGACATGGCGTGTAGATCGAACAGTTATTAACGAGAGAGAGTAAGATCTTAGACGATGGAAGGCTCATATGACACGGCGTAAAGATCGAACGGTTATGAAAGAGGGATAGCCCCCAACAAAAAAACTCACTCTTTTATAGTGTGATGATGAGGAGATTATACAACAAAGATATTAGAAAACAAAGAAAAATGTATTATAATTGTTAGATAGGAAGAAAAATAAATTTGGAAGAGAGGATCATGGACAAAAAAAATTTAAAACATGAGGAAAACAGAAAATAAAATAAAGAAACTAGAGAAGAGGGGAGAAAATATAAAAAATTATGCCATGGAGAAACTGAAGAAAAAATTAGTGGATTTGAACAAAATAAACAAAAGACAAGTAAAATAAAGAAAAGAGGAACTTTCTTTTAGGTAATGGGAATAAGTCCATCTTCATGTCTTGTTTCTAATAGAAACATGCCACTTATTACAATATCGTGTACCATGCAAATGTTCCACTCAAAACTCAATTATAACATTATAAGGACATACAAAGGACGCAAGAAAATTCATTGCCGCTGTGTCTATCGGTTGATAGACTTGAATAATGTGCCATGGCTAACGAGCTGAGCCATAGACAAAAGTCATTCATAATCAAGTCATTTTTATTTTAAGGGGAAAATGAGTTCGGTCGAAGCACTTTTGAAATAAGACACCGAGCCAGCTCAACGAGCTTTTTGTCTAGCCCGTCATAGAGTTGGGTGAGAGCACGTGCGTGTACGATGTGATTTTACCACCACAGAAGTTGGGTGAGATGTTCTAACTTGTGTCGTTTGACAAACACTTACACAGGACTCCGGAGGATGCCGCTAGCATTTTTACTTTTATATACAGAGTTAAAATGGCAACTTTAAGTTGGACCACGACCATTGGAGAAAATCATATACACGCCATTGCTACACAATCTGCTGCTAGGAGGAAGAACACTTGTCTGCAACAAACCAAAACTTTTTTCGAATTTATCAAAACAATGTGAACTGCAGGGGTGGGAGATTATAATTTCATTATCATTTAAAATTCCTACAAACATTTTCTAAAATTTTAGTATTTTGAATGGTACCCAATTATTAAACTATACTATATGTCGGAGATCCACCACGTATCCGTACTATAAAAAAGAAAGTAGTAGAACAACAGTTCAAGCTTGCTCAAAACTAGTCCAAGTTGGGGTATAATATATACTTCAATGTTGATGCATCCAGACGTAGTCACATGGTAGATGCTACCTTCTATAAATAGCCATATCTCACTGACCATAAGATGTAGAACTACCACTAACCATATTGTATCGTAATTCGTATCAACTCCATGTTACAATTTGCACCAAGTTGATATATATTCAAAGAAGAGAAGGCAGCAGGATTGCAGGAAGAAAGAATGGGAAATTACAGGATTGGCAAAGCAATATAGCAGTGTGCGGCCAACTAGAAGATTCCGCGGCCAACTGATAGAATAGACAATAGTACTGTCAGATTCAGAACACACTAGCTAGAGAGTCAGAAAGAAGGCAACACAATGCATTTTACTGCAAATGGGATCCAGATCGATACAGGGAATAATTTTAATTACCAAGGAAACTAGCAACATTTTGATCATCTCACACTGGCACCATCGTAGACCAATGGACCCTATCGAGATTTGAGAGACCTGATTGTGCCGATGATACTGACAAGCGCAGCAATGGCGGAGATGACCGCGACGATGACTTCCACATTCCTGTAAACAAACGCGTGCAGTTTGGTCCTTGTCCTCCTGTTCACCTTGTAGTCCTCGATCTCCTCCATGGTGCGGACGTAGCGTGACCCAAGGCGCAGTCCCTGGACGCTGGTCAGGAAGCCGAGCGCCTTGCTATTGGTGAGCCCTCCTCTTCCCTGTAGGACGCGCCTTGCCCGCAGCTCGTGAACATCCTCCTCCCTGTCCACGAGCATGCCGAGGAGGAGCAGGTACGAGCAGACGGCCGACGCCTCGTCGTCGGCGTCGTGGAAGCTGGAGGTCACGCACAGCTCCAGAGCCGCCATGTTGAGGAGCACGCTGGCGCGCGTGTCGTCCAGCGACAGCGGCGCTAGGGAGAGCTCAGCAAAGAGGTTCCCTTTCTTGTTGACGCCCATGTGGACGAGCTCAGTAGTCTTGCTGGCTGTCAGCGTGATGCCGATCTCGGCGAGCTCGATGGCGCTCACGGAGAAGGACATGGACTCGGTCTCCGGTAGGGCTGGCAGCTTGACGTCGCTTCTTCCGACGATGTAGTACCGGAGGAGGCCGAGGAGGTGCGGCGGCTCGTAGGTGTCGTCCATGACGAACGGCTTCTCGTGCCGGTCCTTGCGGTCCTGCAGACAGCCTCGCAGGGAAGCGACGAGCTCCTTCAATGGCACGGGCCTGAACCTCATGACGGCCCTGACCACCGGCCATGGGAGCTGGTTCTCGAGCTGCATGATGGCGTGGTAGACGTCGTTGTCGTTGGCGTCGAAGAAGCTGCGCAGCGCCGGGTCCATATGGGCAAGGCCGGCGTCGGTGCAGGTGAGCATGTACTGCACCAGGAAGCAAGCGTCGTAGAACATCATGGGCAGGAACACGTCGTCACCGATGCCGTCCACCACGTTCCCGTCGTAAAGGCTCCGGGCGTAGCCAGCGACGGCGAGGACTGCCTGGTAGACCTCCTCAGCTGGGCGGCCTGACTCCATGATGCAGTGGTAGGCAGCCACGTGCTTCACCTTCTCCGCCGCCTTCAGGTGGTCGCGGCCGTGGTGGTATGGGCCGATCGACACCGTCATGGGAGCCGTGTAGAGTTCACCGAGGGATCGAATTCTTGCTGGGTACCGGTGCATCTTCATCTTCATCATGTCGACGTCGAACTTGAACTCACGCGCGGCTTTCTCGAACACATGGATCGGATTGCTGTAGATGTTCATTTCCATGTTGTGGAAATCAACCTGAAATTCTCGTGATGCTTTCTCCATCGGATCATTCGGTGTGGCTGATGAAAACTGAACCAGCTGTCCATATTCTACCCTAGAGCTTGCAGCGACGTATGTTTGAAGGCAGCTATCATATATCTCAGCAGACGCATACTCAACTGGGAGTCGGAGGCCAGGAGCCCATACTGCTGGTTCCATGTCCATGGCGGTCCAATGTCCTAGCTGAAAGTCACCTGCTGGCTGCATGCTCCAATGGGTCAGCTTAAAGTCGCAATGCACCCATGCTGCATCTGGTTCCGTGCAACGATCTGCCAACCCCGCACCTGAGACAGAGTGTATTTGCTGCAGAAAGTTATGTGTAGGGAAACAAGAAACGAAGAGTGAAAAAAGAGGTACAAACATATCGCAGAGAAACACATTAGGACAAATATCATAGCTAGCGGAAAATCAAACAAATGGTGAGAAAGGAAAACCTTACAGCCGGGCAGAAGATGCACAGTCACACAGTCACACACACACAACACCATATAGCGTATAGAGCCATAGACAGGCCGGCCATGTGAATGACGTCCATCCTCTTCACTCGAAGTGGCCAATTGGACTATATGTTTAACAAGTTGCGGCCATGTAGAAGCATATCCTCCAAATAATTAAAATACTGGCAGGTCGATGATTCTTCTACCTCTACTTTGTTCTATTCTAAGTAATGCTCATCTTACCACGTTAATTCTCACTAGACACGCTAGGAAAAACATAAAGTAACCCCCTTAATTTGACATCTAAATTACCCACCACTACCATTACGCAAGATAATTCAAAATAAATCTCTAAATTTGTATAAATTATCCAGTTCCATCTTTACAAAAGATAATTAAAAAAACCGCTAAATTTGCATCTTTAGACACTTTTTAGTTTATGGAACATAATCCAAAATAACCCCGTAACATTGCATCTAAATTACTCATCTTTTCTACATTTAACTTTGTATCTAAATTACCCACATTTACTATATATTATGAATGATAATTTAGAACACCGCCTAATAATTTTATAAATTACCCATCTTTATCATTATAAAAGATAATAGAAAGTAAGCTCCTAAATTTGCACTCAACCTACCCATACATTATAAAAGATAATATAAAGTATTTCTTTTATATTTGTATCTATCTTAGTCATTATATAAAAATAAAAATTCATATTCATAAAATATTGTATGTATATATTTTTAAATTATAAACTTCTACAATTGTGAAATAAATAGCCATAATACTATGTTTCACCATGTATACCAAGTAAACATGTATACATTAGGATAAATATTTACTTATGAAGCAAATGTTCATTTACCAAACCACATAGAAATAACACTGACAATTCAATTCAACTTAAATTAATACCCCATGATACTATTTTTCATAAGTTGTTATTATAAAGTTTATACATTTCCACTGAAACATTATGTCATATCAATATTGGTAATTTAATTTTAAACATTCTAAGATATATAAAATCATACTACACACTTATAATCATATGATATAACAAATTCAACATGTTTGGTTTCGGGTGCAAGCTAAGTTTGAACTTAAAATGTGGAAAATAGTACTACTAGGACCTAAACTCTTTTAATAATAGATTAATTTTTGAATAAAAGATGAAAAAACACTAGAGTTTCTACTAAGCATTTGGAAAAATTTAAAACAACTTCATTAAAAGTTCAAAATCAAAATATAAATTCATGAGGTCACACAAAGAGTTTCAACAAGAGTTTATATGTCTTAAGATTAGTATTCAACTAAATACATGTCATGCAATAAACATATAAATACCATAAATGCTAATTAGAGGTCTTCAATAGGGTCTTCACATTAATCCCTACAAGACTCGATAGCAAAAAATTAGATAGGTCCTAGAAAACCTCACAAAAATCAGAACCATCTGGTTTAACAGAATCACCAGTGATAACAACAGCTATTGGATCTATTCTATTTTCCAAACAATTACACAACTCTGCTATTGTGTAAAACAACATAAAGGAACGGATGAATCCATGTTTAAATTACCCACGCCTGTGCTACGCTAGTAGAGAACAGACCTTTGATCCAAGGGCCAAACCAGGCTCTAGTCCCGGGAAATATTGCGCCCGGGACTAGAGAGACCTTTAGTCCCGGTTGGTGGCTCCAACCGGGACTAAAGGTCCTTGCCCAACGTCTCCTGTGCCAGGCCGTTGTGGCAGGGGACCTTTAGTCCCGGTTGGAGCCACTAACCGGGACTAAACGTCGACCTTTACTCCCGGTTGGTGGCTCCAACCGGGAGTAAAGCTCTTGTCCCGGCTAGTGGCGTGACCCGGGACTGGAAAGTGACCTTTAGTCCCGGTTGGATCCACCAACCGGGACTAAAGGTCCCCCCTATAAATCCTGTTGGCTGTCTTCTTCCTCCCCGAGCCTGTCCGAGAGCTTCAGTTCAAATTTAAGCAGTGTTCTTGCTCTTTCTCCATCCATTCTTCGACTCCTCCGTCGATTTCTTCGATTCCTCCGTCGATTCTTCGGTTCTAAAGGTTACCAACTTCATACTCGCATGTTTCACCATTGTCTTATCCCATTTTGTTCACTATATATATATGGTTCTTTATTGTGGTTTTTTCATTTGTAAGCAATTTGAGCTCAAAATCACTTCAAGCTTGCATATTTACATGAAGGAAGGTTAAAGTAGCTAGTTGAACTTGCGGACCGTGTTCATCTCGGCGAGCATGTTCTCTGCCGAGCGGTAACGGATGTCAAGGAGGAGCTTTGATTCTACGAGGGAGAGCGACAACGGTCATGGAAGACCGTGTTCCCTTCCTCGTAGAATCGGAGCTCTTCCGTGGCCAAGTACGGTGCCGTCCGGTGGAGAAATGCTCGCCGAGATGATCACATAAGCAAGGTCAACTAGTACGGATGGTTATTTATTCACACGTCCTGATATCGTCGCAGTAGTCTGTCAATCACTGTACCCAAACGTAGTATATATATAAATATAAACGATAATCGATTGTTATGTGTGTACACTCCCATTCTTCTGTTAATTTGCGGAAATATCATGTGAATTACTTACCTGCCGCAGTAAAAGATGAGAACACAATGACCATTAAAAATATCATTGTTTAGAGATATAGATAATTTTATAGTTTCTTAATTTTATTTGTTTATAAAATGAGAAATTTATAGTGTATTAAAAAATGAGTATAGAGAGTAGATGGCAACTGCTTTCGGGTCCTCGGCCTCTCATGGGTTTCCAAAGCGACTTAGGCCGGGCCTCCTTCTTATTCCATGCGGCAAGTGTCGTGATGAGACGAAGATTGTGTTGGAGTACCGAGTGAAGAAGGAGGGTCCCAACAAGGGTCGTATCTTCTACAAGTGTCCGGATCGCAATGTGAGTTATTTTGTCGTATTTAATGATTATGGTTAGTTTATACCTATTTTCATGATGGTTGTGATTAAAGTTCTAATTTTTTGTTTTAATTTTAGTGGGATGACAGTGGACGATGTTCAGGCTTCTACTGGGAGGAAGAGTATATTGAACTCGTGCAAAAATATCTTGCACAACAGGCAGATACGGCGGCTAATGAGGCAGTGATCTAGCCGAAGAAGCCCAAAGATGTTGCACAATCGGGGGATCTGTCTGTTTTAGTTGAGATTGGTCGCGAAATCCTGTGCTCCTGAAATGTATTGTAGCTTTAGTTCTTTTAGTGGTAGTTGGGATTGTCTACATTGTAGCGATGCTTTCATAAATTTGTACCTTTTATGGTGGCACGCATGTTGTATAAATAATTAATTATGATCTAGGTTTTAATATGGTATTTATGTCATGTAATGCAGATGAGCCGGCATTGGATGTACAATGCTGATCGCCGCTCCCAAGAGTTCATCGACGGCGTGCATTCTTTGTTATGTGCGGCCGAGGCAAACAAACGCGACGGTTTCATGTGCTGCCCATGTGCCATATGTAAGAATACGGTGGAATATCCTTGCTCAAGGACTCTTCATTCACACTTGTTCAAGTCGGGTTTCATGCCAAACTATATTTGTTGGACGAAGCACGGAGAAACCGGCGTTGTAATGGAAGAAGGTGAAGAAGAACAATGGGACAACAATGATATTATTCCCGATGGTGCGTGCTTCAATGATACTACAATGGGAGAAGCTGAAGAAGAGGTAGCTGCAGAAGATGAGCCTGCTGATGATCTTTGTCAGGTCATTCGTGATGCACAAAGAGAATGTGAAAGTGAAAAGGAGAAGATCAAGCTCGAGCGGATGCTAGAAGATCACAAGAAATTGCTGTACCCAACTTGTGATGCTGGGCAAAAAAAGTTGGGAACCACACTAGAATTGCTGCAATGGAAGGCAAAGAATGGTGTATCTGACAAGGGATTTGGAGAGTTACTAAAAATCCAAAAGAAGATGCTTCCGAAGGACAACGAATTGCCCGCCACTACCTATGAAGCAAAACAAGTTGTCTGTCCTATGAGGCTAGAAATCCAGAAGATACATGCATGTCCTAATGACTGCATCCTCTACCGTGGCATAGAGTACGAGAAATTGGATGCATGCCCGGTATGCCATGCATCGCGGTATAAGATCAGGCGAGATGACCCTGGTGATGTTGAGGGCGAAAGTCCGCGGAAGAAAATCCCTGCCAAGGTTATGTGGTATGCTCCTATAATACCACGCTTGAAAATCTGTTCAGAAACAAAGAACATGCAAAATTGTTGCGATGGCACAAAGAAGACCGTAAGGTAGACAATATGTTGAGACACCCTGCTGATGGGTCCCAGTGGAGAGCAGTCGACAGAGAATTCCCGGAGTTTGCAAATGACGCAAGAAACTTAAGATTTGCTTTAAGTACAGATGGTATTAAGAAATATGATCTAATGTAGACCTAAATTTTCCTTCTACTACAATAGATAGTTTACGGAACCCAATTTTCATCATATTAGAAAAATTAAACATTCCCTCAAATCTATATCTAAATTGTCAGCATCTTCTATTACAAAAAATGTTAAATAATCATAAAGCATATAATTGCTAGCATGCATGAGCCATAAATATATATAATGTTTCGTCACACAATTTTTTTTAAAAAAAAACTCATATACTAATGATACTAGTAAATTGTTTAAAATCATATTAGTAACTATGACATATAATTTGTATAGGTTATTA